TCCTTTTGTTGCGCGGGAGCTGGGGACTTTTTCAGCGACGAGCTGGGCGGCAATTCCGGGGCATCTGGGTTCGGGATGAGAGGGAAATATACGACCGCAATACCTGCGTCAGGGCGCATCAAGTGGAAGTCGGACTCTTTGTGATCCTTGTTCCTAGGTTGGAAGAGACGCTTTGATGGTGGTGGTTCTTCACCGGAGACTCTCTCTTGCGTGGTGCCGACCCAGACATTGCAGTAGTCTAGATCGGTGTCTCCATTGCTAGGGTTCTGTCCGGGGTCCGTGGATGGGGTTTGTCCATTACTCGCAGTGTTTCTATCGTTGTCTTGAGCTTCTCTGATCTTTGAGTCGAGTTCCGCTTCGGATATGTTTTGTGCTTCCCGGAGTTTTTCCTCGGTTTCCTTCAACTCTGTATCCTCTTTTGGCCAGCCAGCACCTAATGGCCAGCCTTTGACACCTCGTTGTCGTGCGTACCCGTCGACAACTGAAAGCCAGTTCTCTTGCTTTATGTCGGCTGAAGCGTCAAACGCAAGGATGATATCTACGTCTCTGCCGGGACGCAGCAGTGGATATATGGGCAGGTTATTGCTCATTCCCGCATCCATTAGCCGCAGATGCGAGCTTCGGAAGATTGACTCGGGACAGGAAGGTGGCAGGACATCCTTCATACCTAGCACATAGTTCGGTATAGTGGCAGGGTCGATGGGATGAACTCGAACCAGATCTTTATCTTTCCCTTGGATTAAAGAGTCTATGCCTGTAAATCCAGTAATGCCTCGTACCAGTGGTCGTATCTCCTTGTAGTAATGAGATAAGGTTGCACAGAAAGCGCTCCCCCAAACTCCCATGAGGCCTGGAACACGAAGTTCAGGGATCGGGTAGTGTCCCTCGGCAATTGCATTGACTCCTCCATTGAAATGCCTGCCTAAAGCCCATGTAGGTATGCCAGCCCCGAGCTCCTCGCAGAAGAATTCATAAGGCGTGAACTCGAACCACTGGAACCACGATTCATCTTGCGCCTCCTTCATCAATGTCTCGGGCGTCGGCTGTTTCTTGGTATGGCCTTCTTCAAGGCTCTCAATGACCGGGATCTCGTGTCGGACGGCAGTATAAATAGGAAGTGGGTGAGCCCCATCGGTGAGGTTGTATTTCTGGTTGGATAATTTCAAGTCCCGATTTGAGACTCCAAGCTCTCCTTTGGGTACCAGCAGTCTCGCAGCTAACAGCATCCCATATATGTCTACCAGTCCGAAATCCGCTCCAGGGTCGCCTTTTAACTTCTCGACTAACCCACTGAGAAGATATTTATTGGTAGGGGCAGTCGTTAATGCATCGAGAGCCTTCGGCGGGAAAGCTATATGTACGCCCAACCTATGCTTTAGGTGGTCCACCAATTTCTGAAAATCGCGGCCCGTAATAGATGAATGATATAGTGTCTGTAGCCAGCAACTGCCACTGACACCAGCAGTATACGTCACACAGTCCCATAAGCCAGCTTCTTGCGTGGCCAGATATGACCCAGTCCCAGCGACAAGCGCCCGCAGCCCACCTCCCGAACCGCACATAGCAATGACAGGGACGTCGTCCGGGTGGATATCTTCTTCAGGAATTTCCAAGTACGATGCAAGTGCTTTCACCCCATGCTCTCGCCTCTTCCGCCTGAACTCCAGTTCCTCACGACATAGATCGCTTCCCACACGAACCCTTGCATCTCGTAATATTTCTGGATTAATATCCGGATCGTGAGCCTCTTTCCAGATATCATCCGCAAGGGAACCGGGGGCCATTGAGAGCTCACGCTGGAGCTTTTGCACTGTCGCTGGAAGCAATCGGGTCCAGTCCGGAATGATATAATTTTTAAGGCTGTCAATTTCGATCCAATCGGTTGAACCCACCGTCTGCTTTACTCCGTCAAACTTATGTAGGATGTTAGTCCATATTGAGTTCGGGTCGCCATGATCGGAGCTGTGCTCGGAGCTTAAGTCCCAAGTGCCTTTTTGCGAGCTAGCAGATGACGGCTTTGCGGACCGGTCGTCGACATGGTAGGTCGTAGAAGTGGAAAACCGAGCTGTTTGATCGGTCTGTAGTACCGAGTGTTTGTAGTAACGGGTCTGACCACTAGTGGTGTATAGTGCCCCACTGCCCAAAGCTATCAGGACAGCTGGGGGAACAGTCCAGCGAAGACGCAATGCCTTCGCAGCACCCATGTTGTGACAGGTACCGCGCAGGAGAGGGGAGGTACAGGACAGCATGCGACCTTTAAAGCCATGGCGAGTGGGCCAGACCACGGCGATCCCTTTCGTAGCATTTCCGACTTTACCCAACTTGCAGGCAGGGTGACATCATATCACGTGCAATCATCGGCACAATAGACGGACCGGCTGCATGCCTCTTTGGGGCTAGTGGTGGTTGCGGAGTGGGAAAAGCAACCTATGAATTGTCGCTGTTTGGTCCGGGGAGTAACAAAGCTCCAACAACTTAATTAATTATGCCCACTCTATGAGGCCAGGTGCCTCATCGGCCAGCTGTTCAGTTCCTTGGAATCGCCCTGACTTTGGATTATCACTTTGGCTCCGACCAGCAAGACATGACGTCTTTTGGATAGAAGCGCGCGAGTGAAATTGTCATATTTTCGATTGTCTCATGATTGTGGGACCTGCCGCTCGAGCACTCCCTGACCATGGTAGCCCCAAGGAATACTGCTTACGCAGAGGAGAGCGCGGAGGTGGAGGTGTTGTATGCCAATCTTGAGAAGCTTAAAGTTCTTACCAAGAAAATCCAAGGTTCCCTTGTCCGCCTTGAAACTGGAGGGAATGTCGTGAAACATGCTATTGGGCCTATCTACAGTAATACCCAATCGCTTCAAATCACCAACAATAACATTGATAAGGTCAACGACGCTATTGACCGTCTGCGCCAACCTCTCGACGCAAAGAGTCGGGAGGAGGGCATCATCCGCTCTGGGTAAGCGAATGTCTTGTTATGTTCCTAAAGTGAACAACCTAGCTGACCCAGTATCAGGCCGCAAAATGTTGAGTTGTCGCAATATCTCGCAGCAATAAAACGTGTAGAAAAGGCTCTCGTTGACCTCAACTCCACGAACTTGAGATCAAACCAGAAAGCTATTTCTGACTTTAATTCTTTATTGAGTACCGGGACTGTTCGACTTCAAGATTTGCTACGAAGCAGGTTAAGCGACGACGTCAGTCCTATTGAGCCTTTGCATTATCTAACGAAAGGTGTGTTTCAACATCATGCGTGACGTTCCTTCGATCAGTAATACTGATATCTCTATGTAGAACTGCCGTTTCCTTCGATTCCGGAAGAAACCGTTACAGAGCTGGGACCTATATGTTCTGCAATCAATTCCGCAGCAATTCACGGCCCACAACATGGCGACGGCGGAAATCCCGCCCTTAAAATATATGCTGCAGTTCGAGCACCGTATATCACCTCAAGCCTGCAAAATCTTGCCATTGCATCGCTGAATACTGTTAAAAGACGAGCTGATGATGGCCCTTACAGACAAGGCACTAATGGAATTGGCATTTATTCGAACGCCTTGGAGAACTTCATATACGCCGAGCACGATATAATCTCAAGAATCTTTACTGGGGATCAGCGGGGTTTGGCTCTACAAGCAACATGTCAGTCAGCTATGGCTGAATACTCGAAGACCCTGCGTGAGCTCAATCAATATATCAAAGCCAATCTCATGACGGACTGCTTCTTAGCTTTTGAAATCATTGAAATTGTTACAGCGATGTCTTATCGTGTTGATTCAAAGACAGGGGAGCTCAAGAGCATGTTCATTGAAGCTCTTAGGCCTATTCGCGAAACCGCAAAGTCATCCCTCTCAGAATTGCTTGAAGAAACGAAACGAAAAGCTGCATCCATCCAGGTTCTACCACCAGATGGCGGGTCTGTGCCTCTTGTCAACGAGGTCATGAGTTCTTTGATCACGTTGACTGCTTATTCTGGACCTCTGGCATCTATTTTAACTTCCTTGGGAGATGGAAATTGGCGCTCTAATTCTAATGCTTCGGGTACTGCTCCTTTAGATGTCAGTCCAGATAGCTCAACGCTTCTATCGCACTTCATTCTTGACATGATCGAAGCCCTTATGATTGCTCTGGAGTCTCGGGGTCGGGCATTCCATCGCACGAAAGCTGTCCAGGGCGTCTTCCTGTCAAATATATTTTGCAATGTTGACCGCGCTATTCGGTCGAATGCCGAACTAGCACGATACCTCGGCTCTCCCGACAGTATCGCACGGATAGACACCTTTCGCAAGCGCGCTACTTCAACTTATTTGGATTCTTGGAAGGAGACTTCGCAGTATCTGCTTGATGTGCAATACACATCTCGGGGTGCCGGTGCGTCAACTAGGCCAACGTCCGGAGGCATTGTTGATTCTAGCGCCATAGTCAAATCTCTTTCATCAAAAGATAAAGACGCAATTAAGGATAAGTTCAAGGCGTTCAATGCAAGCTTCGATGACCTAGTTTCTCGTCACAAGGCTCTGTATATGGAGCGAGAGGTGCGAGGTGTCCTGTCCCGTGAGGTGCAGACTGTGCTGGAGCCATTGTATGCGCGTTTCTGGGACCGCTACCATGAAATCGACAAGGGAAGAGGCAAGTATGTCAAGTATGACAAGGGGAGCCTTTCTGCGCAGCTTGCAGGATTGGGATAGGTATACCTGGGTTAAACCCACATCCTAATACTTAGCATTTGTTGGAGGACAATGTGATGGTTTCGAATGCGCTGCGCTGCGTTTCAAAACGTCGTTAATATGTCTATATGTGATTATATCTAGGATTCCGAGGGAGTTCTATTATTTTTTTAATGCTATAATTCTTGAACCACAGAGTACCCGCTTATCTCTTTATCCGCAAGTATTATCAAATATCATGTGATGATAGCCCCTCCGGATTTAACTCATAACGTGACTGATAAGCGGAGCCCCGCTAAGTCTGGCCACCGCAAGCAAAATTTCCGTCGATCACGCACACACTCTACCCCCAAACCTCTTTCTATTTCTCTTCCTGCCTCTCAATTCCTTGTGGAAGTGCTTCGATTTCATTTTGGCAGGATGTCTGCAAGCAACGATGTTTACCAGACCCCTCTCAACTCGCGTTATGCGAGTAAGTGCCCCGCAATATGCTTCTACAGCAAGCTTGTACTAATACCGCGGGGTTTTGTAGGCGATGAGATGAAATACCTCTTTTCTCCGAGAAACCGTTTCTCCACCTGGAGAAAGCTCTGGCTGTGGCTTGCTGAGTCTGAGAAAGGTATAATCTTGCATAGTCCAGACGTCAGATAACAGCTTCCCCCCTAACCCGTCATAGAGCTCGGCTTGTCTATCTCCGATGAGGCCATTGAGCAGATGAAGGCCCACCTTACCATCCAGGACGAAGAGTTCAAGGTTGCTGCTGAGGAGGAGAAGCGCCGTAGACACGATGTTATGGCCCACGTTCATGCTTACGGTCAGGTCGCACCCGCTGCTGCTGGCATCATTCACTGGGGTGCCACTTCATGCTACTGCACCGACAATGCGGATTTAATCTTCCTCCGTGACGGTCTCGACATCCTCATTCCCAAGCTTGCTGTCGTCATTGACAAGCTGTCCGCGTTCGCCCAGCAGTACAAGGACCTGCCTTGCCTTGGTTTCACTCACGGCCAGCCCGCTCAGCTTGTTACTGTCGGAAAGAGAGCCTGCCTCTGGATTCAGGACTTGCTTATGGATCTGAGGAACTTGGAGAGGGCCCGTGATGACTTGCGCTTCCGTGGTGTCAAGGGTACCACCGGTACTCAGGCTTCTTTCCTCCAGATCTTCGACGGAGACCACTCCAAGGTTGAACAGCTGGACGAGCTTGTTACCCAGAAGGCCGGCTTCGATTCCGCATTCATCATCTCCAGTCAGACCTATTCTCGAAAGATCGACGTTGACGTTGGCAACGCCCTGGGCTCTTTTGGATCCACCTGCGAGCGCATCGGCATCGACATCCGCCATTTGGCCATGCTTAAGGAGGTTGAGGAGCCATTCGAGAAAGACCAGATCGGCAGCAGTGCCATGGTTAGTGGCTTATATGATTAAACAACCCTCTTTTATCTAACCGATTCATAGGCTTACAAGCGTAACCCCATGCGTTCTGAGCGTCTGTGCTCGCTCGGAAGACACCTCCAGAACCTCCCCAAGGATGCGCTGGACACCTACTCCGCGCAGTGGTTCGAACGTTCTCTGGTAAGACAATACTACTTCCTGCGAAAAAAAAATATTTACTAACAACCACCAGGACGACAGCGCCATCCGTCGTATCAGCATTCCCGAGCTCTATCTCTCTGCCGATGCTTGTCTCATTCTCCTGAGTAAGTGAGCGCCAAAGTCACCTCGAGACGATAACTAACTCCCTCAAGACAACGTTACCTCAGGCTTCGTTGTCTACCCCGAAGTCATCAAGCGTCGTGTCAATGACGAACTTCCCTTTATGGCCACGTAAGTCCCTCAAAAGTCCCCTAAATTACAAAACGCCATATACTAACCGTCTCACCAGTGAAAACGTAAGCTATCTACGATACCATTCGCTGAATACACCAACATACTAATTGATAATTTAGGTCATCATGGCCTGCGTCAAGAAGGGCCTCTCCCGCCAGGACGCCCACGAGGAGATCCGTAAGTGACTCTCATAAAGAACACCTTGCCCCCTCATTCTGACAAACTCTATCACAGGTGTCCTCTCCCACCAGGCAGCAGACAATGTCAAGAAGCACGGCAAGGACAACGACCTGCTCGAGCGTATCCGCCGCACCGCATTCTTCAACCCCATCCTGGGCGAACTCGACACCCTCCTCGACCCTAGCACCTTCGTCGGCCGTGCCCCCCAGCAAGTCGAGAAGTTCACCTCCACTGAGGTCAAGAAGGCTCTCGAGCCATATGCCGCTGCCGTTGCCAAGGCTGAGACCTCTACGCTTAGCGTTTAAGGTTGCAGACATAGAGGCATGCATCTATATAAAACATACATGGCTTTCCCTCAAAGTGCAGGCCGGGCTCCAGGGGAAAAGAGGATACCTACCAAACTGTGAACCCCCTTACTGTGAAGTATGAAGACAATGTGACAAGCATGAGAGGAGGTTTGTTCGTCTCATGCAAACACATGTGAAAAGAAACATAGAGTTAAACCACGTTGCGCAAAAGTTCTCATTTTCCAAAAGGGATCACCAAATTATGTATATAGTAATCGATGACTGAGACGTTTATTGCCCTCTTCCTCTGTTTCATGGCGCTTGACTCTACAGCACTTGTAACATAATACGGCGGGCCGGGCCCCGAGTCCATGTGCGGTTGCACTAAGTGGAATCATGGATACCTGTGTGTTAGATTAGGGCTATCAAACGGCCATCGCCGCTGCACAAAAGTACCTAACTAACCACCCGGCCCACCACCTGGTAGTAAGCATAAGATCCACTAGGTTTCTTAACTCCGAGGCAAAACCATATCACAGTCTGTTCAGTGTTCACACACTGACCCCGCCGTCCCACTTTCAGAAATGAGGGGTACTCGTAAGTCCAAGCAAGGGAGAGTAAAGAAAACAAGAGACACGCAAGTGAGTGGGTTGTATTACAAATACAAGATATGATGTGTAAGATACAAATTTGTAATATACATGAGAGAAGAAAAATCTGAAAGGGAAATCGCACTTCAAACAACCATGCGTGTCGTAATATAACATGTGAGGTTTCAAATATGAAAGTGTAGGTCCGGGTCCTTCTTTTCTAGCAATTTTTTTTTCTGTTCGAACTTATCTGAAAATACAGGTTGGGAATCAAAAAGAGACAGGAGAAGTAGCGCTGTGATACAACAGGCGTGCAGAAATATTAAAGTTGTCGTTAAATGCGTCAATCTCGTGTATGATAAAAAATCTATGTAAACTGTGAAAATGGTTTAGCAAGGCGATCAAAAGGAGAAAGAGAAAGATGCGGAAGCAAGACTCCGAGGAAATTACACCCGTAGAGAGAGTGGTACTGCATACCTCACCACCCAAATACAGAGCCGGATAGAGCCCAGAAGTCATGTGTCCTTGACATGTCATCTAGCTGCCGTATCACGCATATGACTATGATCCAGTCCCATCGTTTAGAGCATTGACAACCAGTTAATGACCTGAGAAGAACAACTATGTTAAGATAGGCACTTGCTTCAGTGAAATGTAGAGAAACTTACCATCATTGCCTGAATCAATGCCTCCTTCTCACCATAGTGCATACCATCCCAGCTCTCTGCTTGTAGAGTTGCATTGTACATTCCCAACGTTTCCATACCTCTGGTTCGTGCTGCCTCAAATGTATCCAGCGTGTATTGCCAACTACTCGCATGGATGTTGCTTCCAGAATGCTTTTGGTGACCCGGGGCAGTTGGACCTATCCAGAGGAAGGGCATGTCACGTTTACTAGATTGGGCCATTCCTAGCCATTCATCCATGCTATTTCCAGCAATCCCAAGTGAATAGGAGGTAGAAAGAGAAAGACTCTGGATCACAGGAACAGGCTTTCCCTGACTACCCGCTCGGTTGATGAGCTGTCGGAATCTCTCTTGAGCGCTCTTCGAAGCAGGTGAGCTCGTTGCTGTCACGAAAGAGTGGGGAATGGCTGCATAGTAGACCTGGTCAGCATTTGAGGCAGAACCAAACCTGGAAATGGCAACCATAGTTATTTTTAAGGGGGTCTATGCTCACAAGATGAACAGGCATTTGGGCCTGAGGTTATTTTGTTGTCGTTTTGCTTCTCCACCTGCTCGCTAGAGGTAATTCTCAGCGGTAGACAGGAGGCGCTGGTGAACTGTGAGCCACATCTGCATTTCTCAATCTGCTCATTGGTCATCTCCGATCCTCTCAAGGCACCAGTTGCGAGGTCCCCCCGAACAAGGATATTAAATCCGGCGTAGATATCGGCGAGAGATTCATCGCCAACGAAAACGAGAGCGCCAAACTTTTGCAGAATGTCACATATTTCAGCGTTGCTATACCAGCGATAGAAGCAGCCTGCACGACCAGAATTAGTCAATTTCCTACTGGAAAGGAAGGAAAGGGGACATAAAGACAGAGCTACTGTGGCTGACCGTTGCTTCGTGGCATCAGCAGACCACAATCAGCATCTCGCTCACCTTTGGAAATGTATGCCTCGTCAAAGCCATGCCGGCCGCCATTACTCATTGCACTGAGCAACGAATCTCGAGTCTGGCAGTACGAATGGCTCAGAGCTCCCCGGCCCTCCATTTTAGGGGGTTCGTAGAGAGCAAGAGATGAGATGCCACACTCCTGGCGTCCTACATACCGCTCCAGGAGACTACCGGCAAGGTCTGTCAGTTTGATTCTTTATCGGAGCTCTAACATTTTCAGGATCTCACGGGTATAATACTCACTCCGACGAGGTGCCCGTGACGATCATACTAGGCTGAGTAGAGGTGAAGGGAAGAAAGAAAATATCACGGATGAGCCAGACAATGTAGAAGACCCCGAGGACCCAGAGGGATGCCATTAGCTTGTAAGTAGACGATCGCCAGGTGACTCTCCGGACCAACCTGCGTCCATTGGGGCCTTCGATTGGACCACGCCGCTGTGGCTGATTACCCTGCTGCATACTTGTAAATGGATATGCAAATGCCTCGTTCGCCGACGACGAGGCCATTGGTTCACTATGGGAGGTACGGCGACGAGACATAGCCGGCATGTTGATATGCACGTGCAGTTCTGGAAGGGGGGAGGAAAAGGGCCGTGCAGAAGTATGAGTGAGAAAGTCGATGCAATCTTAGAAATGATGCATCTGTTTAGGAGTAGGGCTGCTTTAGTGGCAAAATTTTTAGAAATACACAAGGGAAGTGAAAAGGACAAGGAACCGAGGCGAAAGAGGTAGATTGGGGCCAAAGCAGAGGAGGGGTGCAATCGTTGTCGTGAATCGTTAGTCGTGAGAGGAAGATGCTGGGGGAGGGGCACTTGGTGGAAAGTATTCAGTAAGGAAGTCGTGCGGTTCAGTGTCCCTCTGCTATTTCCCAATTGGGAACTTTCGTCGTCTTCAAATTGTCCTGCTTTTTTTTTTTTTATTCCCGTCTTCTTTAATCTCTCTCCTTTCCACTTCCTTCTCCTAGATCTGCGACTCTTGAGTAAAAATTTTTGGTCCTTGTACTTGATTGTGAGCAGGTCCCCCTTTTTAATCCTCGCGTTTTTCAACGACCCTAGGAGATTAACGAAGCAGAGCCGTTGATTATAATCCCCCAGCCACGCCACGATAATACGAAACGAGAGAGAGAGAGAGAGAGAGAGACTAAAAGAAAACAAAAAACAGATAAAAAAAAAAAAAAACGGCGAGATGGATAGCGAGAGGGGCCTTGGTTCAGGAAGAGAGCCAGTGACGGGTAGAAAAATGGCATACAGCCAGCATGAGGGCGAAAAAGGTAATCTCATGGAGTGTTGCGGATCCCTTTTTTTTTTTTTCTTGCTTGCCTCATCTCTCTGTCAAAAATTCCTTTTTTTTTTTTTTTTTTACCTCTTAGTATTATTATTTCCAAACTATCGGCTGGCCCTTAAATTATTACATTAGTGACTACACTACAACCGAGGAAATTAAGCGCAACCCAATTTAAAATCTCATTCTAGAAAACAAAAATGAGGAAAAATAAGAATTAAAAAATTCCTCAGGCTAGAAGTGGTGGAAAAGAAAATACCCAAGGGAAGAAAAATGACACGAATACAAAAACCCCATTAAAAAAATGGGGGTTTGCCAGCAACGTTTGCATCATCATTGATTCATTGTGTTCACCGTTTTTCGATGACAATCCACAAGGCGAGACACACATCGATACTAATACAAAGAAAGGAAAAAGAAAACATCAATTCGGAAGTACAGAGTACAAGTCGCCTTTTTAGATCAATCAATTCCTTTTCATTTAAGCGGACCATTGAAAGAGGTATGATGATCTATATCTCAATGGATTCGTAAACTTTTTATTGTTTTTGGGTTTATCCGGTACAATCCAGACAACTCATTTATTTCCAAACCACATGTAAAAATAAATAAAAAGATAAAAAAAAATATAGAATAGAATAAAATAAAATGACAGCAATAACAGCAGCGAACCTTGCCAAGTACCTCGTTCCGATTCTGGCAAATGGGCAGTGCTGCCCTAAGCGGGTGCCGGCGGTGATCGTCGTGGTGCGACAAACTCCACCAAAGAATCGTGCCCTCGAGCGTGTTCTTGACAGGCGCCCACTAAGGCCAACTAGGGCTTAGCAGCTTGCGTTTCCAGCTGTTCTCCACAGCTTCAAATTACAGTTACTATGTGCTTGACTGCGGATTCTTCCTATTGGCCAGCCGGCTTATATCTCTCCTTTAAGGCTCCATTCCGAGAAGAACACTACAACTGATCTGACAGGTTGGAATTACAGTCTCTGACGCTGCTTTTGCGCAATCTCCTCCGCCGCGTGGGAAAATCGTTCGCTAAACCCCTGGTTCAAAGTTTCCGCATCGAAGGAAGAATGGAAGCCATCTGGATCGTGAAAGCGGTGTGGAATATGATCTGCTCACCATGATGCTATCGTCGGTTGATATCTCACAAAAAGGGGGGACAGGGCTACGAATAAGAGAACTCCAAGTCTCCATTCAATTTCTTCGATGATGACATTACGATCTATGCTATCAATATGGCAATTGCCATGGAGGGCTCACCTCCCGGAGCTTCTACTACTTTTACTACGCCCGAACTATATTTGTAGTTCTTTGTACTAGCTCTCCTTAGATGAAGGGTGTCAACGTAATTCCGTGTAATGTAGGCTAGTCTCCTACAGAGTAATGCCTCCAATATACTACTGACACACCACCCTTCCTTCAACTGAACCCTGTCACCTCCAAATATAGAAATATCTTTTTTTTTAAAGGCTGGTTCACTTCATACTGAGGAGTTCCGTCTTGGATAAGGTGTCGTGGAAGGTATGAGAAAAATTCTATGGCATAAAGAGAAACATGATTCAGTTCAAGTTCTCTCTAATATTTTGTTAAAGCAGAAATATCTAGGTGAAGCAGGGTTCTAGTTCCATTACAGCGTGCAAATCACCAGGCATACTGTACAACGACAGATGGTTAAAAATAGTCGGAAGGGGTATATATATATATATATAATAATTAGAAAAAAAAAAAAATCTCCGAACGCTACTAATTAGTAATAGGCTAGAATAACTATAGAGTACTATATTCTAGTAGGTCGTTTTACAATAGACCAGGTGTTTGGGCGGCGTTGGGCTTCTAGAATCAAGTTAGGCTACCTTTACAAAAAAAGAAAAACAAACCATCTCGTACCTGTCAAGAAACCAAAAGGACAGGAAACAGGGCACGACGACGATCGGCCAGGTTAACTTTCATGTCACTACTTCTCCTCATACTCGCCCCCCCCCCCTCTTGAGATTAGGTTTAATCTCACAGCTGTTGTGTCACGGGACATGCAGGTGACAAAGGGTCAGCACTTCGTCGCTGACAATAGTACGATCTACTTGGTCTCACTACGGACTCTCCCGCGAAAGAAAGATCCGCAAATGCTATTCAATCGCTCTTTGAATGCAACAGGGTCAAGGTTCGATTGTCCTTGGCTTGTCATACCCTTAACAAGAACAAATATAATCTAAAAGGACAATGTGTTTCACGCTGAGAGAATGGACAATCCCGATCTGGGGAACTACCGTCACCACTTCCCGGGTCTTGAAAGTAAATCCCAAAGGACAGCACATTGACTACTGAAGCACACCATGCAACTAGATAACATGGGAGACTCAAGCAAGGCATCTGTCGTTCGGTTTGGGCATAATCCAAGAGCTTGATATGGTCTGGTATTGGATCCTGGGGAACCGCGGACGGATGAACCCTACCGCGGGTGGGAGAAACCTAAAAGTCTTCGCCCTTCAGCCTAACAAAGACTTGTCAAAACTAAGCAGGATTCAATTATATGTTTCTTTTTCGTGTCTCCGGTGGGAGATCCAGACCCATCGGAGCATCCGTGAGGAGAAGTCGAATGATTTTCGGGCGAAGGGGAAAAACCCGGACCAATTTTCACGTTCTCATCGGCAATTCCAGTTGGACGATAAGCATCACGGAGTCCGATCTGGGGTTGATCCCGCTTCAAAACACCATTGTGCCGCCACTTTGTTTCCTGCCTACTTGTTGCAGTACCCAAAAACAAAGGATATCATTCATTATTTTCGGTAGCACATAGATCCATTATTAAAGGGTGAACCGGTTATGCTTGATGGTTCATTGATTACCTGAGGATCGGACGATATTCGTTGTTCCTCGGCCAAGCACGGAATGCCCCCCCCCCACACGTGACTCCCCGGGAAAGAGAGTCTCCGCAACGGCCACAAGAGTCATTCACCAAGCTCCTCCACTTTTTCTTCGTTTGCGGTCCTTTGCATCGACCTTTATAGCATATATCTGGGGTGACCGAAACTCATTCCCCATGTATTGCTAAATTTGTTCACTCTACATATCAAGTCTTGCACCTTTCGCCCTACTCATCTTGTTCTCGACCCCCTCATCTCCTACTCCACTGGTCCCGAGTCATCTGCACTCCGCCGTCCGTTAGCGGAGGAGTCTACCTCGGTAGTAGTCATCCCGACTTTAAACGCCTCCTATCTTCCCAGCTGCAAGCGCCCAGCATTGTCAGCTATACGCTATACCACGCAGTGATATTCGCTCTGTTACGCTATTCAGGGATTATAGAAGTGACTCTCTCGGGCCGTCTGGCCTGATTACCTACAGACACCATGTGGAAGCCGTCGGAGAGGCTGATGGAGACCATCAGACATTATGCCAGCTTCCCCGCCACTGGTGTTTCCCTTCGGCAGATGGTCCAATTTGGAGACAGACCTTCGACTGGTATGTCCATCCTTTGTCCTTTGAGATCTGTTGATGTCATAGCCATGACTTACGGACTTTTGTACTGATCGCGTGACCTCGTCTTTGAAGTAGGAACTCTGTTTCGTGCCTCTCAATTCCTCTCCGAGGAACTCCCAATTCGACTCGCTCACCGTGTCCAGGACCTGGGGGAACTCCCTGATGGACTCAGTGAAATGCCCTCTATCAAGAAGGTCCAGGACTGGTATGCGCAATCGTTCGAGGTATGACTCACCACCCACTCCATTCCGTAGCCCACAATGCCATGAACCCAAGCAAACTCCTCCTAGTATTCTTTGTATCTAACATGGAATAAAGGAAATCATCAACCTGCCTCGGCCGACTCTCACCCAGGAAGTGAAATCCCGGCTGCTACGGCCAGGAAGAATCAACGGTGGTGCTTCGAAGATCCTCTCGGAAACCACTCAGAACCCTAGTATCAAAGAAGGACAATATCGGTCCTCTCCCTCCTCGGCATTGAATCATAATGGAAATGGAAAGGCCGCTGCCGCCGCAGCTCGAAGATATTTTGTACCTTCCGATGACCAGGGCAATTGGCCTCCGGAGTTGAATGATTACAACGAGCGCTTCGCAAAGACTCTCCAGCAAATTAAACGGCGACACGACAGCGTTGTAACCACGGTGGCTCAGGGTATTCTGGAATGGAAGCGCAAACGCCAAAGATTACAGATTGACTCGACCGTCCAGTCCTTCCTCGATCGCTTTTACATGTCTCGGATAGGTATACGTATGTTAATTGGCCAACATATCGCATTGACTGAACAAACGCACGTCCGCCATCCAAACTACGTTGGTATTATCTGTACGAAGACAAATGTCCGTGAAGTCGCCCTCGAAGCTATTGATAACGCCCGATTCGTGTGTGAAGATTACTATGGTCTATTTGAAGCTCCGAAAGTCCAGCTTGTCTGCAAAAATGACCTGAACTTCATGTACGTCCCAGGCCATTTGTCTCATATGCTCTTCGAAACCCTCAAGAACTCCCTCCGTGCAGTGGTAGAGACCCATGGTGCAGACAAGGAAGCTTTCCCAGTCACCAAAGTCATCATTGCCGAAGGAAAAGAAGACATCACTATCAAGGTGTCCGATGAGGGTGGTGGAATTCCCCGCTCTGCTATCCCCTTGGTTTGGACGTACATGTACACTACGGTTGAGCAAACACCCAATTTGGATCCCGATTTTGACAAAAGCGACTTCAAAGCCCCTATGGCCGGCTTCGGGTATGGATTACCTATCAGTCGTTTGTACGCTCGGTACTTTGGTGGGGACTTGAAATTAATCAGCATGGAAGGGTAAGTCTTTTTCCATTCCGTTATCGACCTATTTTTATCCAGCTAGATCTGACTTAGTTTAGATATGGTACGGATGTCTATCTTCATCTGAACCGCCTATCCTCGAGCTCTGAGCCCCTGCAATGACAATTACCAGTCATGAGGGATGGTCGTGTCCGGTTCTCTACTTCCCATAGACTTCATCCTTTCTATTCCGAACCGGATCCACCACCATCTCAAGGATTGACGCCGATGAACATTCGAGCCGTGCGTGCACGCATGCAAAGCAGGGAAGTTTCTACGCGTAAGCAAGTCGGCGATGCTGAGAGCCGGCTTAACGCTGAAAGGCCAGGAAACTAAACCGACCGCTTGCTTATGAACACTATATGGAAGGGCTAATGCTCCCGCTGAGGGCCCGCTTGGGGGTCGATCGTTGTTGGCGGCGAGCTTCACTAATTGGGAGCTCTCTGTGAGTCGACCACTTTGGTTGAAACCATGGCCTTCACTATTCATTGCTTTGTCACACATGTGTGGATAGACAAAAGCGTATATTCTCTGCTTTAAGTAAAACTTGGTCATTCTTGCCTGAATGTGAGTACATCTGATGACCACTACCGACTTTCTAGGAAGGTTCGGGTCTATTGATACCCTTGGGTACCCATTCAGGAGGCAAGTTTGGAAAGGTGGCTCTGGTGATCTACACTTACATAGAGGGTAGAGCCTATAATGCTCCTTCTGATTTTTCTTTATCTACCGTTTTTTCCTATATTCATTTTTTGCTTAGCTATGCTCTTGTCTGTCTTTTTTGTATAGTAGATTATGGGACGATCAGGATATTTTACGGATGGTACGGTATTAGGGATGTATACATGAGCCCATTGTGAATATTCAATTCAATTCATTCATTTCAATCATTTTATCAGATAAGCAAGCCTACACAGTAGACGTATAATCCATAATCAGCATCCCATTACCTCCCAAGACAACAGTAATAAACGCCAAAGAACTGAGATAGAAAGAACTCAAGGCGACGAAATCCCATAGTCCTCCCTCTCAGCACCACTCCATCTCCTCCTCCTCTCCCTTTCTCGCAACTGCTGTCCGCGACCCGCCGACCCAGAAGCAGAACTCGACGCAGTCGACGCCTTCCCCTTCCCTCTCGTCCTATCGGGCGTCGACAACCGCCCCTTATTCTTCGATGATGAAGCAGGCGACGAGAACGCCGACGACGATCCACCGGCATCGGCGGGCCGTCGCCACCCCTCATCGTCAGTTTCATGAACATCAGCAACACTCCGGTGCACAACTAGAGGCTGATTATTTGAAGACGGAGAAGAATTCTGGACGAGGAAGAGGTCAGAGCGGATAGAGGCCGCTACCTCGGGGTCCTCAGGGGCGATGAGCTTAGAAAGGAAGCGACGGCGCGCTTGTGGGAGGGTCTATTTATAGTTAGATTTTATACAATCGGGGTATGATGAGTAGGATTTAGATCTCGGCTAGGGCAATGATGAAGGGACTTTCATTGAAGACGCAAACAAATCAATCGAGACCAATACAATGACTCACCTCTTGAGCAGCCAAAGCCTGCATAGTGAGGAGTTCCCGGTCCATCAGGACACAAAGCGCAGCATGTCTTTCCTCGCGGAGACGACTGCGCACTTTCTTTTCCTGTTCGATAGTCGTGTGGTAGTTTGTTAGTGGGCCGCGCATGCGATCGGAGTCGTATCCTAGGGTTATTAGCTTGTGTGCGTTTTAGGAAACCCAAGAGTGATTGGTAAGTTGTGATAGGCTCCAGATGATGAGATCATATGGATGCTATGTAAGGATAAAGTAAGGAGATGAGAACTTACTGGGATCGATCCCACGTGGATGGTTTTGGCGTCCGGGGTAATCGACGTTCATGTCTTCGTCTTCGCTTTCGTCGTCGATCACGATTGGATCGCGACTGTGAGGGCCTGGAACTGGGACGTTGGGATTGAACATTTTGGTTCTTTGGGGTTAGAGGAAGTTTTTGGCACGACTGATATAGTGCAATGGAAAATTGAGAGGTGCAAGCTTGGGTAGTAGATGGCCAGTAGATGGTCAGCCCAATGGAAGTAGCCTTCTGGCTGATAGAATTTGCACAGGGAATGATGAGCAAATTCGCAATATGGAAGCTAGCACTAGCAAAAGTGCTTTGAAGTTTATAAGAGGGGTGTGGACAAGATGGTAATGTCCAGATATGTTCAGTCATGCAATGTAGACTGTATGTCTTCACAATTAGTTTAAGCCAAGACAATCAATCTACCAATGGTCTACTCACGGTATACACTTAGAAAGGCAGTAGATTGGATCCTCCGCCTAAAACAAGGAATGGTAGCAGAGGAAGTATGTTGGGCAAGACTTGGGGACTGTATTAAAAGAAACACCACCCTTGTCCAGCAGGGCAGTTATGATATGCTGTTTGAGGCGATTGTTACTTTGAAGTCCGTCGTTCTGAAGCAAGCAGAAACACTGACTGGAGAGCTGGAGGTGGTGCCCATGTGACGCCAAAGCTGCTTAGTCATGACCAATCAGATTTCGATGAAATAGTTTGTTTACATTATGGAATCAGATAAATTGTACCAGCATGGATTTCATATTATGCCCCTATTTTCATAACCAATGCGAAAATGAGGAACCTTAACATGACTATCTTTCTCAAATGCGAAGCGCTTTTTTGCGCCCTAGATTTCGTACATACCACAGCCTCGTTTTCGTCGGTAAGAAGACGGTCCATAAATCGTCGGACAACGTGTTCTATCGTAAAATAAGAAGAGCGCAATGACTCGAGCCCCCACAGGTTTTGTTAACAGACAAGGAAAAGTTGGGAAGGAGGGAAATATCGAAAGGTATACAGACAGAAGATGACAGCGATAATACACATGTAAATGCCAGCATGCAGAGTGAAGAAGACAAACAAATACGCCCGACATGCGGTCGTCAAATCGAGCCAGACGCGCACACGAATGCGACCAATTCCAGGTCGGGCAGCTCTTTGCAGAAGGGAAATCATAATGTCCGCCGAACGCCAAAGCACAATGCCGCTAAAACGACCGGTGAGGTTCCAAAGACGCCGTTTAGCAAGGTGGGATATAAGTGAACGTGGTAGAAGTCACCATCGAGACAGTGGTGACACAAGGTTGGTACAAAGGAGACCAGGTATGTACCCAAAGGTTTTGAAGATCTTTCGGGCAGAAGTCTCGGGAGTTGAAGGGTTTCAATAGCTGGTAGGGGGAAACAGCACAACTCAGCATTCATGCATGAATGAGTTTTTGGGCCAGTCATATCCAGCATCAGACCTTGCCACTCGTCAGTAAATTTATCACTCAATACTTTCTAGAATATGGTGGGCCTACCATGTAGTTTTGTTGACGTTTTGGTACGCCTTGGGATGTTTTGCGATATACTCCGTTGTTTCATAGCCCGGTGGGTCACAGGTAAGACTGAGGTTGTCTGGATCCTGGTAGACCCGGAGGTAATCGAAACGCATGTACCCAGGCAAAAATTTCTTGATGATGTCATCAACTGGAGCGAAACTGTATGCCATACCCAAGTTCATGATGATAGACAGCGGTTCCATAGGAATCACCCGCTGGCCGATGTTGCCGTTGGGCCCGAGGGCTCTACCGTCGAGAGTCCATGTCTTATCCTCACCGACATACCAGGTGATATTGCCACGGGCGCCGGGTGTGTAGTCGAAGGCGTAAACCTGGTACTGTGTTCCATTGTACCAGTCATTATTGAGGTTGCTGAGCCCAGACATGGCCTGTTGATAGGGCCCGCCACGATAGCTGTTAATCTCTGTGATCTTGGGATCGTATACAGCTGCGTATTCTGCCATACCGTTAGCAAGGCCTAACTTCCTCAATCCATACATTATGAGCACGCACCGTAATCAGGCATATACCAAATATCGAACGGGGCCATCTGCAGACTTTGAGAAACTGACCCTACCATCGTCGCCGCGTCACCGTTTAGAGCAGCAACGCTAGCTTCAATCACATCGATTTCCGGCGCGCTCCTTGATTTACCAGGGGTAGGGTGTTCTGCATTGCTGCAGGCGCATGCAGGTAGACGCATTCCAGGTAACCAACTCAGACCATCTGTAGAACTTTGATTCGGCGTGATTCCAGCATCGCACCCATCATAGTAGCTGTACGGCCACATTCCTTCCGTGGTGGCGGCATAGCCCGGGCGCCCTAGGTTACCCATTGCCCAGAAACCAGGCCAGAAACCGGACACTTCACCGTTTCCTGGCAAGGATATGCTAGCTTCCAAACGACCGCCCGTGAAACATAATTTATTCCAACTCTGAACCATGCCGGATCTATACTTCATTTCATGATTCGGGAATGCATCGAACCGAAGCTCCAATACACCGTCTTTCGTAGTAACCGCATCAGGATCGTACCACTGCAGGGTGTCAGCTGCAGACAAACCGTAGGAAACTGTCAAGAACAAACCTCAAGATCCTGCGTCACGCCGTACCAGATATCAACCGCCTGAAGAAAGGCATCGTCACCGTCATAAAACGTCCGGCCCGGCGTATTGAACTCGTCCGAAAACTATGATGATCAGTGACAGATTCAGAAGGCTCGTCAAAGTATTCGAGCTCACCACCAGCTTCCATTCCTTGCCATCAGCCGACTTCTTCGTCATTGCGGAGGCCGGAGTATCTGGGTCTATCAACCCAGTCCGCAAATTTGTAAGTATGCCTCTCTCCCCCACATCAAGACATAACGTATCCCCAGCGTCACAGACAGAGCTTGATGGTTTCTGCAGCCCTCGAACAGCAGTACTACAGAAGATTAGTTTCCACACCAGTATCTGTCCAAAGAGGGGCATAGATCATACAGAACAGGGTACCCAATGAACAGCATCAGGAGACCCAGCGTCAACAAGACTAAACCCCCACCGTTAACTATCCCTCGTCGGTTCCAAATGTCACAGTCTCGTTCTTTGTCGTTTGGATCCGGGTTGTGCAAATAATCGTCCTTCTCCACATCCTCCGGGAATAAAAGTAGACCTTCTGACGGCATGATGTTGAACTTCTCCGTAACTGTTTGTGTATTCACATCTTCCCCATCACCCTCTCCGTGAGAAGGAGTTCTCATGTCCTCATAGCG